ATATATTTAAATGCCATTTAACAAAGAAAAATCAACCAAAAAAATGAGCTCGCATGTCACCTCTGACTTGCGTGCCATAGGTTCGCCATCACTGGTTTAGACTCAGACACAAAGACAGGAAAAAGTAGTGAGGAAACTACTTTTTTTCAGTGAAAAACAAAAAACAAGATATCTGCTAAGATGAAGGAGAGAAATGGTGGAGACAGGAAGTTTAGAAAGAGTGGAAAGTTTAGAACAGGCCTCAGGAGGAAGAGAAAGTCCTAAAGACCCAGGTAAAGTTGGAAATCATAAATTTATTCTGGCCCCAAGATACACAATTGTGTGGTTTTCTCCAGCAGCATTCAGCAGGTCAGGTGGCTAAGCTGACCCAGGACTGAAATGCTACAGAAAAATGAGAGGAAAGGAACAAGGAACCACAGAATTGATGCTAAAGGCAAGGGAGTAATTAAGTAATGAACCATGTATCTTAGCTGGCCAAAAATAAAATGCTTCCAGGGATCTGAAAGACTTGTGTACCCCCAGCCAGTGTGCTCAGTGGGGAGTTCTAGTTTTGGTCAAGGGCACCTGGGACCTGGGCTGCAGGTTTGATCCCTGGCCCTGGTCGGGGCACATACAGGAGGCAACCAGTCAATATGTCTCTCTCACATCCATGTTTCTTTCTTTCTCTCTTTTTTTTCTCTCTACCTCTCCTCCCTTTCCCTCTCCCTCTCCCTCCCACACCCTCTAAAAATCAATGAGAAAAAAATATCCTCAGTGAGGATTAACAAAAAAAGACTAGTGTAAAATAGACACAGGTCACCGAACAAGAAAAAGGCCCTGATGTGCTCAAAGTGTATATTTACTGGTTATGACACAGAAAGCTAGGAAGATTGAAGGATGGGATCAAAATATGGGAACAGCTTGTCTCACTGCTAGAGCACATAAGAAACACTCACTAGGTTTATTGATTGCTAGACAAGCTATTAGGACTTCTAAGCATCCCAATAAACTAGCACTTGGTGAGAAATGGACAAAATGAATCCTGTCAATTTCAATTTAGCATAGACTCTTACATCACATCCAAAGTAATGCTTCCAACAATAACCAACCGCTCTGTCACAGGAGTTCATCAGGTAAGCTCAGAACATTAGAAGAAAAGAAGAATCATGCTTGACATTGCAGTTTTTCTGCTGCTTGCTCTAAGCTAGTACTTCTATGAATCAACTGATGACGTCCTTTAAACTGCAAGGTTATTCTGGAAGAGCCCCACTTGCTGCCATTCTCCATGAGTCACTATTAAAGGCAGGGAGTGCGGGCCCAGAAGAGCACTAGCACGGAAGCCTCACTCTCTAATGCCAGCAATAATCTTGAAGGATGCAAGCTGGGAACTAGAAAGAGCCCTCACAAAAGAGAGAAAACATCCATGACATAGGAGCCAGCCGTCCGGGAAAAATCATCAAATACATGACTAACCTGAATATTTGATTTTTTTTTTGTCAATTTGGACTGTCATCTTTAAAAATTTAAGTACCTTAAAATGTATAGAGACTACCTCCAAATAGTACAAAGAACTTAGCAGAATTTTATTAAGTAAATTCAGCTTATATAATATCAATGTGAAATTCTCTTAATTTCTTATCCAATGATTCAACAAATACTTGTCAAATAATTATCAGGTATATAGCTCTCAACTCTGCTGTGAAAGAACACAATGCACAGAGAGCCAGACAGGTGCTCCAAGGAGAAAGAAATTAGTTCAGGAAGAATGTGAGGAAGACTTCACAAAAGAGGGAGATTTAAGCTGAAACTTGTACAATGGATGACACCTTAAAAAAGAATCCCTTTTCGCAAAAGAACCCCAATTTTCTAACCCAGGAACATGGGAGTTACTCTGACTTTTCCTGGTCTACCTACCGGTGCTACACCCAACATCTTACAAACATGTTTACTTCTTGCCTCCCCACTGATAACATCTGAGTTTGGGCCACCATTATTCTAACCTCGGTCCTGACAGATCAGTCATCCAAAGGGTCCTCTACACTACCCCAATCTACTTTCCAACTATCAAAGTCATAGACCTAAAATGCAAATCTCATCCTTTGTTACCCTTCGCACCTTAAAATCTTTCAAAATCTCTATCAGGGCAATAACCCAAATCCTCTACCGAGTGAGTCTTTTATGATCTGGCTTCTAACTACTTTGGTAGCTCATTCCTCTCCCCCTCACATCTGTCGCTACCTCCCTGGGGGACTCCTGCCTGCAATGTCTTTCTCTTATTCTTTGCCTGGCCAATTCTCACCACTGCAAATGTTTCTTTGAAAGTTTCAAACTAACAGAAAAACTAATAGAGTAGTACAATGAACAAATATGCCCTTTTTCTAGATTTAGCAGTTGTTACACTTTTTTGCCATATTTATTTTACCTCTCTCTCTGAATCACCTGAAAGTTGGACATCATAAAACTTAAACCCTAAAACTTTATTTTATTTTATTTTGAAATTAGATGATCTTTATTATTAAGTTAATTGACAAGTGTCAGAAAAATTCACTATTACCATTAAAAGGCAGAAAGCTTATACATACAATTTATGAATTGCTGCTACTCACATAACTGTTTAGATTTTATTTGGAGGTTAACAAAGAGGAGGCTTAAACCCTAAAACTTTAACAAGTACAACTTACTACATAATCACAAAAACCATAATCAATTCAAAATATTTAGCATTGATAGTATTACCTAATGTGTAGTCTATATTCAAATTTTCCCAATTATTCCAAAATGTCCTTTATAGTTTCTTTAACGCAGGATCAAACCAAGGATGATACATTGCACTTGCTGGTCTTGTTTCCCCTTATCTTTTAGGACTCAATTTTGGAATAATTTCCCCTGGAAAGTTCTGACTCTCCCTACCCAGTCTGGTTACATGCTTCTTCTAATGCAGTGGTTCTCAACCTTCTGGCCCTTTAAATACAGTTCCTCAAGTTGTGACCCAACCATATAATTATTTTTGTTGCTACTTCATAACTGTAATGTTGCTACTGTTATGAATCGTAATGTAAATATCTGATATGCAGGATGGTCTTAGGCGACCCCTGTGAAAGGGTCATTCGACTGCCAAAGGGGTCGCGACCCACAGGTTGAGAACCGCTGTAATGGTACCAGTATCCTGGTATCATTATACTCTTTTGTAATTATCAATTTATTTACCTATTTTCCCTATTAACCAATAAGCTCCTTGAGGGCCTTTGATTTTCCAGACCCATACTGTTTGACTTACAGTAGATATTCAAAAAAGGTTGGCCAAATGCATGAAAGAGCTACAAATAGCGAATATGTCTGTTATAGACTTGTGGCCCCCATAAGTTCGTATGTTGAAGCCTAATCCCCAATGTGACTGCATGTGGAGACAGGGTGTTTAAGGAGGTAATTAAAATCAAATGATGTCATTAGGATGGGGTTGTAATCCAATAGGACTGGTGTCTTTATAGGAAGAAGCAAGACACCAGGAGTGTGCGTGCAGAGGAAAGGCCATGTGAGGACACAACAAGAAGGAAGTTGTGTCTGCAAACCAAGAAGAGAGGTCTCACCAGAATCCAACCCTGCCAGCATCTTGATCTTGGACTTCAAGCCTCGGGAACTATGAGAAAATAAGTTTCTGTTGTTTAAGCCATCCAGTCTACGGTACTCTGCTATGGGAGCCTGAGCATACTTATTAATACAATGACCAAAATCTTTGTGCCCACAGTTCCTATGTTTAATAGAATGCTAAACTAAACCTATACATCTCTGCTAGAACAAAGATACAAACAGAAGACTTCTTCCCCTACTTCTGAAAAAATGAACCCCAAATTCAACAGAATGACAGAAAGCGTGACATGCATAAAAAAACCCAATTGCATCCTTAAGACTACCAAATTGTTATCAATCACCATTTGCAGCTACTCAATCAGATGGTAAAGAAGAGAGATATGTAGAGTGTATGAAGCACACACCAAAAGGAAATCTTTCATGGAGCTTAGTATAAAATTACACTCACCTTCCCAACTTCTGCTGTTTAAGATATCTGCTGCTAAGTTGCTTACAGATGCCTACACAGAGACTATGAAGACGATGGCACAGGCCATGTTGTTGGGCAGTGGTGTTAGCTGTTTGGATTGACAACAAAGCCTAGTACAGTGTTCTGCTTCTTATACATTCTTCATAATTGCTGGCATATGGCTCATCACAGACCCATCTTCTAATCATTATCACTAGATTCTCAACAGAACAACTAATTGGTCTTCAGGCCATCTTCTAAACATTCTTTCTCATGTTGGCCTTTCACAATTATCACCTTTTATGCTTGGAAAATGATTCAGCAAATGAGCTTGCTACTTTTCACTTAGCTCTTTCACACATTAGCAAACCAAAATTTCTTTGATAAAGAAAAATACATTTTAGTAGAATTTAAATAAAGTCACCATGGTATTCACAGCTATTTTGATTTCCAAATAGCTCAGGCTAAGGAATCTGAAAGACTGAAAATGTGATCAAGACCTATGCCCACCTTACTCTTGCTGCAGTGCCCAAAGAGGACACAGATCCACTATACAATCCTTTACAAATAACTTAGAGTGTTACTTTTAGAAATTTACTTTTGGTACTGAATAGCATAAATATAATCAAAGTATTCTCATAGACTAAACCTTTAAAAATTCAGGTTATAAAGTAAGTAAAATAGGTGGTAGATGCCTATCAAAATATTGATCAAACTTGGGACCCAACAATTAGCTGCTATTATTTCAAGGTATTAATGAATCTCTGAAAGTTCCTTTATTAACTCTATCATAGGGTACTGGAAAAGCTAAAATCATTAGAGGATTTTTACTTGTGTACTTGTTTTTAAAATAAAAATTAGACTGAAAGAAAAGAAACTAGAAATACAAACAGGACTGGCCCCTTATGCACATACACATACACATACACATACACATACACATACACATATACATAGGGTTTTTATTCTTAATAGCATCATTTACCTTCTGCCCTTCTCACAAAGTTTCTCAATTTCAGCTTTCAGATCCTGCTCCTTCTGCAAAAACTCTTTCTTTTCTTTCTCTATCTTCTTCTTTGTTTCTTCTCGCTTTATCGTTACATCCTGGATAGCTTTTAATATCTCCTGAGTCCCACACAATTACAGGCACACACAAATAAAGAAGGAAATAAATTAGTTCTTTTGGTCTGAAAGTTATTTTGAACTATCACAATTTAACATACTGAATTTAGTAAACTCAAATTGAATTGAAGGAAGCTGGCTGATGGGTGGCTCCTAAAGCCAGTTTTCAGATGTAAAGAAGACAGTTACACTAAAGCAGATTTCAATTCAAGAGGAGAAAGAATTTCTAACTGTTCAAAAAATGGAATTTACTGCCTTGTATAGCAATAAGCTCTCCATTACTGGTGTTCAAATAAAGGCTAAATGAACCAGTCAAGAATGCTGAGAAAGGTATTCTTGCATAGGGTGGGAATTTGTTATTTTCAACAAATATGGTCTTGTTTTGCTTTGTTATGGTCCTACTTTATTACGTGCGATGTTATTTTTTTCTTTTCTCACTATTTAACAAATATATATATATGTATTAATATGAAGTTAAGTTATAAAAAAGTGACAAAGTTGAAAGATAAATATCACATGATCTCACTCATATGTGGGATATAATGATCAACATAATTTGTTGAACAAAAATAAAGCCAGAGACAAATGGCAGGGGAAGTGGGGGAGTTAGAGAGCAACCAAAGGACTTGTATGCATGCGTATTAGCATAACCAATGGACATAGCCACTGGGATGGTGGGGGCTTACCCGGGGTGGGAATGGCTTGGGGGGGGTGGGGGGCGGCGGGGAGATGTCAATCAGGGAAGAAGGAGACATACGTAAAACTTTAGACAATAAAAAAAAATTTAAGATGGAAAACCATACACACACAAAAAAGTGATAGTGTTAAGTCACTCCCTAATTCACATAAATTCCATCCGTAACATAATCAACGCGTTGACTATTTTGGGCTTTCACATTTTTCTCCATTCTCACACAAACACATGTATACTTATGTATTTCACTTTTTTTGTGTTTTCTTAACTGAGGTCATTTTATATATGTTATTCTGTATCCTGATTTCTTTTTCACTTGAAATGAAGATAATGTCAATAAACATAGATCTAACTCAAAAATGGCTGCATATGACATAATGTGCATATATGCAATTTGTCTGACCATTCTCTGTCAAGAGCCCATCAGGTTGAATTCAGCTTTTTTGTAACTATAAGCAATGCTGTATTAAACACTCTAGATGTGTACACTTTCATACAAAAACTTCTATTTCTGTTCAACAGACCCGTTAATACTGAGATTGCTAGGTCACAGTATATGTACATTTTAAATTTTAACCAACAATTCCTAATAACATCTCCAAAAAGGTCATAACAATTCATACTCCTACCAATGTCTGAAAAAGAACACATTTTTCCTCACACCTGACAACTTATTTCATTTCTGCCAATCCCTTGGGGGAGAAGGAGGAATGGTAACTAATTACAATGAGCATTTCCCTAACTCCCATTCTTTTTTCTTTTTTTCTAATATGTTTTTATTGATTTCAGAGAGGAAGGGAGAGGGAGGGAGGGGGAGGGGGAGAGAGAGAGAGAGAGGGAGGGAGGGAGGGAGGGAGGGAGAGAGAGAGAGAGAGAGAGAGAGAGAGAGAAACATCAATGACAAGAGAGAATCATCGACCAGCTGCCTCCTGCACGCCCAACGTTGGGGATCCAGCCCGCAACCTGGGCATGTATAGTGACCAGGAATCGAACTGTGACCTCCTGGTCCATAGGCTGACATTCAACCACTGAGCTACGCTCGTAGGGCCCTAACTCCCATTGTTTTTACTGTCTGTCTCCTCCAACTATAATAACTATTCAATGAAGGCAGAGACTATGTTTGGTTCACCACTAAATCTTCACAGCCTAGATCAGGAACTCAAAAAATAGTTTCTGAGTAAATGAATACCAGTGAGGCTGTGCTTCTTTCATATACTTATTACCTATTTGCTTTTTCTCATCCAAATCCCTGGAATGTCTTACCTTCCATGGGAAAAGAAACTCTGTAGATGTGATGTGGGGAAGAATCTTGAGATGGAAAGGTAATCCTGGATTATCTGGGTAGGCCCAATCCAATCCCAACATGGGTCTTTAAAAATGAAGGACCTGCTCTGGCCAGTGTGCTCAATGGTTAGAGCATCAGCCTGCACAAGCATCGGCCTGTACACTAAAGGGTCGCAGTTTCTGTTTTAAAGAAGTTTTTAAAAATATGTATTTTACTGATTTTTTACAGAGAGGAAGGGAGAGGGATAGAGAGTTAGAAACATCGATCAGCTGCCTCCTGCACACCTCCTACTGGAGATGTGACCGCAACCAAGGTATATGCCTTGACCAGAATCGAACCTGGGACCTTTCAGTCCGCAGGCCGAAGCTCTATCCACTGAGCCAAAGGGGTCGCAGTTTTGATTCCCAGTCAAGGGAAGGCACCTCAGTTGCAGGTATGCTAATAACTTGATTTCCTTTTTTTAAAAATATATTTTATTGATTTTTTTACAGAGAGGAAGGAAGAGGGATAGAGAGTTAGAAACATCGATGAGCGAGAAACATCAATCAGCTGCCCCCTGCATGCCTCCTACTGGGGATGTGCCCGCAGCCAAGGTACATGCCCTTGACCAGAATCAAAGCTGGGACCCTTGAGTCCGCAGGCCGACACTCTATCCACTGAGCCAAACCAGTTAGGGCTTGATTTTCACCTAATGGTGCCCATGTTGGACTTCTGACCTATAAATTAAGCCACCAAACTCGTGGTAATTTGTTACAGCAGCAATAGAGAACTAATATAATAACCTTCCCTGGTTTTCTGTAGATTATGTAACTTTTACCATGAATTTACATGAATCTCAGAATGTCATGGATATTAAACCCTTCATCAGATGTACTACTAATATTTTCTCTTATTCTAACATTGATCTTCTTTACTTTTTGTGTCATTTGCTGTATCAAAAATTTTTAATTACATGTAATTAAATTTTTTGTGGCTTCTGGGTTTCTGCCTGGCTTAAAACGATCTCTTGCAACTTGAGATTTTATATATATACTAGAGTCCAGGTGCACAAAAATTTGTGCACTCAGGGGGAAGGGGGGGTCCCTCAGCCTGGCCTGTGCCCTCTCGCAGTCTGGGACCCCTCGGGAGATAACGCCCTGCTGGCTTAGGCCGGCTCCCGGGTGGCAGAGGGCAGGCCCAATCCCTAGGTGCAGCCCCTGGTCAGGCTCAAGGCAGGGTCGATTGGGGTGTTGGGGCGCCGCCCCCTGTCATGCAGAGTAGGGCAGATCGGGAGGTTGCGATGCCACCCCCAGTCACACTCAGGGTAGGGCCGATTGAGGGGTTGGGGCACCGCCCCCTGTCACACTCAAGGCAGGGTCGATGGGGAGGTTGCAGCGCCACCCCGTCACGCACAGAGCAGGGCCCATCAGGGGGTTGAGGAGCTCCCCCTGTCACTCAGAGAGTAGGGCCGATAGGGGAGTTGGGGCGCTGCCCCCTGTCACACACAGAGCAGGGCAGATTAGGGGGTTGGGACGCCACCACTGTCACACTCAGGGCAGGGCCGATGGGGAGGTTATGGCTCTACCCCGTCACACACAGAGCAGGGCCCGTGGGGGGGGGGGGGGGAGGCTTGTGGCGCCGCACTCTATCACCCACAGAGCAGGGCCGATCAGGGGGTTGGGGCGCCGCTACTCTCACACTCAGGGCAGGGCCGATGGGGAGGTTATGGCTCTACCCTGTCACACACAGAGCCACAGGGCAATCAGAGGTTGGGGAGCTCCCCCGTATCAGGCACAGAGCAGGGCTGATCAGGAGGTTGGGGCGCCTTTCCCTGTCACAAACAGAGCAGGGCGGATAGGGAGGTTGTGGCCGCGCCCCCTGTCACACACAGAGCTGCAGGGTGATCAGGGGGTTTGGGCGCTACCCCCTGTCACGCTGATCCCGGTGCCAGGTGGCCTCTCAGCTCCGCTGATCCCGGTGCTGGGAGGCATATTACCCTTTTACTATATAGGGTAGAGGCCTGGTGCACGGGTGGGGCTGGCTGGTTTGCCCTGAAGGGTGTCCTGGATCAGGGTGGGGGTCCCCACTGGGGTGCCTGGCCAGCCTGGGTGAGGGGATGATGGCTGTTTGCAACTGGTCACACATCCTTCAGGGTGGGGGTCCCCACTGGGGTGCTTGGCCAGCCTGGGTGAGGGGCTGGTGGCTATTTGCAGCTGGTCACACACCCTTCAGGGTGGGGGTCCCCACTGGGGTGCCTGGCCAGCCTGGGTGAGGGTCTGAGGGCTGTTTGCAGCTGGTCACACACCCTTCAGGGTGGGGGTCCCCACTGGGGTGCCTGGCCAGTCTGGGTGAGGGGCTGAGGGCTATTTTCAGGCTGGCGGGTGACGGAAGCTCCCAACCGCTCCTTTTTTTCTTTTCTTTTTTTATTCTGGGCCAGCTTTAGCTCTGAGGCTCCAGCTCTTAGGCCTCCGCTGCTGAAAGTAGGTATCTGGTTTGTTTCGGTTCAAAACAATGTATAACTCCAGCTCTGACTCCAGCTCTAAGATCCAAGCTTGCTGAAAGCTGGTTTCTGGGTTTTTTTTTAGCTTCTGTATTTGTTAAAATGTTTCAAACTGCAGGCTCAGAGCCTGCAAGGCAGGCGGGGAACGTTGGTTTCCTCCTTCACTGAAGCAAGCAAGCCTCATGTTAGTTTCAAGCTGCCTGGCTGCCGGCCGCCATCTTGGCTGACAGTTAATTTGCATATTGCCCTGATTATCCAATGGGAAGGGTAGCAGTCGTACGCCAATTACCATGTTTCTCTTTTATTAGATAGGACTAGTGCAGTAATGGTGAACCTATGACACACGTGTCAGAGGTGACACACGAACTCATTTTTTTGGTTGATTTTTCTTTGTTAAATGGCATTTAAATATCCTATCTAATAATAGAGAAACATGGTAATTAACTGTAACTTCGCTACCCTTCCTACTGGCTAATCAGCGAGATACCCAAATTAACTGCCAACCAAAATGGCGGCCGGCAGCCAGGCAGCTGAAGCGAACAGGAGGCTTACTTGCTCCAGTGATAAAGGAAGCCAAGGTTCCCCGCCTGCGGCTGCCGGCCTCTAAGCTGCAACTCTAAGAAACAATGTTGCAATTATAGAAGCTAAACCATCCCCAGAAACCTGCTTTCAGCCAGCCGGGATCTCAGAGCTGGAGTTGCAACAGTGTTTCAATTATAGAGCCCAAACAAACCCAGATCAGCAGCCGAGGTCTCAGAGCTGGAGTCGAGCCTCAGAGCTAAAGCCGGCTCTCAGTTCCAATGACAGCCATAGAAGGCTAATAAATCCCAGAATTAAAAAAAAAGAAAAAAAGGAGAGGTTGGGAGCTTCAGTCGCCCGCCAGCCTGATAACGGCCCTCAGCCCCTCACCCAGACTGGCCAGGCACCCCAGTGGGGATTCCCACTCTGAAGGGGGTGTGACCAGCGCAAACAGTCATCATGGCCTCATCCAGGCTGGCCAGGTACCCAAGCAGGACCCCCACCCTGATCCGGGACACCCTTCAGGGCAAACCAGCCGGCCCCCACCTGTGCACCAGGCCTCTACCCTAAAGGGTGATATGCCTCCCAGCACCAGGATCAGCGGAGCCGCGAGGCCTCCCGAACCCTGGATCAGCGGAGCCGTGAGGCCTCCCAGCACCGGGATCAGCGGAGCCTCCCAGCACCAGGATCAGTGGAGCCGCGAGGCCTACCGGCACTGGGATCAGCGGAGCCGCAATACCTCCCGGCACTGGGATTAGCGGAGCCGTGAGGCCTCCTGGCCTCTGGAGCAGTGTGAAAGGGGGCAGCACCCAAACCCCATGATCGCCCTGCGGCTCTGTGTGTGACAGGAGGCGGGGCCACAACCCCCCTGATGGGCCCTGCTGTGTGTGTGACAGGGGGGAGCTCCCCAACCCCCAATGGGCCCTGCTCTGTGCGTGACAGGGGGTAGCACCCCAACCCCCTGATTGGCCCTGCTCTGTGCATGACAGGTGGTAGCACCGCAACCTCCCCATCGATCCTGAGCGTGACTGGGGGTGGCATTGCAACCTCCCGATCCGCCCTGCTCTGTGCATGACAGGGGGTGGCGCCCCAACTCCCCAATCAGCCCTGCTCTGAGCCCGACCAGGGGCTTCACCTAGGGATTGGGCCTGCCCTCTGCCACCCGGGAGCGGGCCTAACCCAGCAGGTCGTTATCTCCTGAGGGGTCCCAGGCTGTGAGAGAGCACAAGTGGGGCTGAGGGACAACCCCCACCCCCGCCAGTGCACAAATTTGTGTGCACCAGGCCTCTAGTATAAAATAAATATCAAAAACGTAAGTCTTTGTTTTACTATGGTTGCAAATATCTCAAAATTTCTATATGTGACACGGCACCAAAGTTAAGTTAGGGTTTTTCAAAATGCTGACACGCCGAGCTCAAAAGGTTCGCCATCACTGTACTAGTCCCTCGGTGCATGATTTCGTGCACATTCAAAGGAAATTAATTAGGAGAAATATTTTAATATCGCTATATGACCTTTCTCTATAATAGAAGTGTGAACCAAATTCACAATCCACAATGACAGATGGAAACACATGCGTGCGATTGGCACTAGTGAGAGCTTTATATGTATCACGCATGCGCGAGTCGACTTAGCCTTTTATAATATGGAACAAACTTGCTTAATTAGACTTGCTTTCTGATGTAGCTAAACTTTTTCCAGCCCAGTGAAGCACCCCAACTTCTCTTTCAGGTAATTGTCAGCAACACAGCAGGAAATATCAACACAAAGCAGATTATTATCGTAGATCACGCAGGGAGAACAAAGGGTAAAATATTTAACTGCAGCCGTTTGACTATATTCTGCACAATGAGAAAACCTGAAGTCATTTTCAAGGTCCACCATTTCTTCTTTTCAGTCAGGTCAAGTTTCTAAGCTTTCTAAATCTCCGTTTTCTGGCTAATGAAAAGAAAATAGGATTCCACCGAGTCTCCTATCTACCTACTCCAGGACTACTGTGAGGATCAAATGAGATGAGGCACGGGAAAACTCTTCACAGACATTTGGTTAAAGTGTGAAATGTTTCCACCTGGCTATAAAGCAAGTTGTGTTCCTGGGCTGAAGAAACTGCAAGGAGGCTAGTTGTAGCTAGGGTGAGGAAGCCAGGCATTGCTACGTGATGTCATTACCTGGACAGACACTTAGCATATTAGCCTTTTATATATATATAAATTCTCCTAAAATTTTTTCTAATTTGAAAGATTTTTCCACGTCTTATATGTAGGTTTTTAATCCACCTACAATTGTATTTTTAAATATGTGATGAGACTAATAAATTATTTCCTAGAAAGACTGTCAATTACACCAACAAACTATATTAAGTAAACAATCCTTTTCTCTCTAAACTAAAACAGAAGTGAGAGTTTTAATAAGATGCCCTCAAAGGTTATTTTTATCCTTAAAATTCTATGATAACCATTAAAAATTTAAATACTACTTTTCTATTTCTATTAACTTGGAAACAAAATTAAAGTTTGATTAGGGACTATAACTTTACTCATTGACAATTTTAACATAAACAGAAAACCTGGTGGTTCTTCATTTCTTCTTCTCTCCTTTGCTGAAGTTGCTTTAGTTGCACTTGGAGCTGATCCTCCACTTGCCTCTGCTTGTCCAGGACCTCCTGGTAACGTTCCTTCAACAGGGTTCTCTCTGTCATCATTTTATCCTATTGGTGGTAACAGAAGAAAAGTGTAATCCCCAATTTAACTGCAACACTCACCAGACACCTGCTCAAGGCACTGTGGAGCTCTAGTGTCCAAAACTGCAACTACTAGCCACATGCGGCTGTGTTAACCTAAACTAATTAAAATAAAAATTTTTTAAATCCAGCCCCTCAGTTACCTCGCCACATTCCAAGTGCTCATAACTACACGTGACTTGTGGCTACCATATTGGACAGCACAGACTCGAAATATTTCCACCATTATAGGGAGTTCCAACGCAGTGTTTGGCAACCCATGGCCTGTGGACCAAATCCAGCCATTGCCTATTTTTGTAAATAAAAGTTTTATAGAAACACACCATAGTCAATGGCTTACGGGCTGATTTCACACTACAATGGCAGAGTGGAATGTTACAACCGAGCACATACATGAAGCCTAAGATATTTATCATCTGACCCTTTAGAGGAAAAGTTTCCCAATCCCTGCTCTAGGAAATAAGAGGAAGGAGGCACTTTATCATCCTTTAAGAGAAAGAATGGGCAAAAACAAAGAACACGTCACCTACCAAAATGCATCCAGAAACAGGGTTTCTTACATCATTAGCTCTGAAAACTTACAGACCCGCAAAGAGGTCTAGGGAACTTGGGATTCAGACTGAGCAAATCAGCAAGCTCTCATATAAAGTAGGGAGTAGAAGCAAGGAACACAGTTCAGCTCTGCCTCCCTCAAATCAGTAAATCAAGAAAAATTGTGGTTACCTTTCAAAGGGGCACTAAAACTTAAAGAGGATCAATTTAAAACTCAGCGGTATAAGGTAGGGGCAATTACCATAAACGCATGAAAATAGAAAATAAAACTGGAGCCCAGTTTCTTGTATTGCCGCTAAGCCTAACACCTGCCTAGTTCCACTGCCTTTTTAAAAAATTTATTGATTTCAGAGGGAAGGGAGAGGGAGAGATAGAAACATCGATGATGAGAATCACTGATCGGCTGCCTCCTGCATGCCCCCTACTGGGGGGGTCAAGCCCGCAACCCAGGCATGTGCCCTTGACTGGAATTGAACCTGGGACCCTTCAGTCCACAGGCCAATCAATGCTCTATCCACTGAGCCAAACCAGCTAGGGCCCAGTGCCTTTTTTAAAGAAAAATACAACCGAACAAAACAATCCTGGGCCTCTTTTGGCCCAATTGCCTGACAGTTTCCACCCGTTTCAGACTAATACTAAAGTGTATTTTTGACTTTAGTTGGCCCATTCAATTGCTATATAGTCATCCAAACCCCACATTAAACTATGGGGACAAAATAAATACTCTGTGTAAATAAACTGATTAGCATAAGTGCTCAATAAAAGATGACTTCTCCTTTCTCTGGAGGTTCTCTTCTACCCCGCACATCTCCATGAGGCCTCTAGTCTCTGGGATCTTTTTACCTGCCCGTTATTAATAATTCCTGAGTTGTTACTCTCTATTTAAAAGTTTTCATTGGCATCATCTGATTAATATGTTCCAATAACTTATTTATTTCCATTTGCTCAAGTCCTTCAACATGCTCTACATATTCACTTTTATCTGGTTAATACAAGCACTTTTCTTTTCTCCACTCAATTAACACATCTTCCCCTAAAGACCTCTACCTGACCCTAGGGGGCTTTCCTAGCATTATCCTTCCTCTTGAAAAATATATATTAGCTATGCATTCACTAAAGGGGTGGAAGTTTTTGCCACAAAATCAAGAGGACCATTTTAGCAAAGATAAATGTGAAGTTCTCTAAGTTTCAAAAACTAATTGCCTAGGAATAAAATGGGCATACACAACTATATAATACACTAGAGGCCTGGTGCACAAAATTCATGCGGCTGGGGGGCCGGGGGGGGGGGGGGAGTGGTGGCATGTGTGTCCCTCAGCCCAGCCTGCACCCTCTCCAATCTGGGACATCCCTCTCACAATCCAGGACTGCTGGCTCCGAACCGCTCTCCTGCCTGCCTGCCTGACTGCCCCCTAACCACTCCCCTGCCAGCCCGATCAACACCTAACTGCTCTCCCCTGCCAGCCTGGTTGCCCCCAACTGCCCTCTCCTGCAGGCCTGATTCCCCCCAACTGCCCTCCCCTGCAGGGCTGGTCCCCCCCCAACTGCCTTCCCCTGCAGGTCTGGGTCCCCAACTGTCCTCCCTGCCAACCTGGTTGCCCCTAACTGCCCTCCCCTGCCGGCCATCTTGTGGCGGTCATCTTTGACCACATGTGGGAGGCCATCTTATGTGTTGGAGTGATGGTCAATTTGCATATTACTCTTTTATTAGATTGGATGAGACTTGATGGCATTTGACTGAAAGCTCAACAGTGTGACGAGACTGTCAAAATAAACTAACAGCCCTAACCGTTTTGGCTCAGTGGATAGAGAGCCAGACTGCGGACTCAAGGGTCCCAGGTTCAATTCCGGTCAAGGGCAGGTACCTTGGTTGCGGGCACATCCCCAGCAGGGGATGCGCAAGAGGCAGCTAATCGATGTTTCTCTCTCATCGATGTTTCTAACTCTCTATCCCTCTCCCTTCCTCTCTGTAAAAAAATCAATAAAATATATTTTTTAAAAATAAATAAATAAACCAACAGCTTAAGAAATAGTGTTTAGAATGAGAGTTCGAGAACGAGAGGCCCATTGTATTGTGAACTAATTATAGTCTGTCTGGATTATTACATTTTGTTCTCAGGATCACATTTCAAAAGAAACCCTGATAAGATGGAACATGTCTAGGTGAAAGATAACCAGGGTGATGAAAGGACTGAAAACATTATATAAAGAATGGTAAAAACATCTGGAGAATGTTTCACCTGGAAAACTTCAGATCTGAGAGCTAAGAGGAAGAAGCAGGGTAAAAAAACCTTCAAAAATATGTAAGGTGATTGGACAACTTCTCATGGTGGCAGCAGCCAGTGGGGCACTGAGGAGTGGTGACTAAGCTTCAAGCCTGGTGGTGTGTGCCGCCTCTAGCATGGCTCCCCCCCACCCCTCCAGCCCCTGCACCTTGATGCTGAGCCTGCCCTGACTGGGGACAATGGCAGAGTATTTCCTGGGCCACAGCATGCCCCGGAGTTCCTTGGACCAAGTGTTCTCAGCCTTCTGGCAGTGGTATCTGAATCCCTACAGCAACCATGTCCTGTGGAAGACACAGTGCACAGGGAGGTGACCCCTGCCCCAGAGACTTCTGCTGGTCCAAGTGACTATTTCCTGCCAATACTGCTTACTCGGTGTATGCCCTGGAAGATTCTATTGTGGATCCACAGAACCAGACCATGACCACCTTCCCCTGAACATCAACCACACCCGGCTGGTGGTGGTGGAAGAACAATGTGATTACCGTGTGAACTGATTACAGAAGCTGGACTGACATCCACTGGGAAGGCTGGGTCTCCTCTAGCTCACTTGGCATTTCCAGAGCTGTCCAGGAATTTGGTCTCTTCTGGCTCAAAAGCAATGTGACCAAGACGATGAAGGATTTTGAATACATCTTGGCCAAGCTACAAGGTAAGGCTCCTTCCAAAAGCCTTGCTGAGACAGCCAAGGAAGTCAAGGAGGAGGCAGAGAACGGCACTGGCAACACAAAGAAGGCCCAAGACCTCGCCGGCAAGGCAGCCATGAAGACGCAGCAGCAATAGCTTGTGTAGACAGCTGGCCCCAGTACGGCAGCACACCAGACCACTTGGCTGCACTCCCTCTGTCCTCCTCCCTCTACTTTATTATAAAAAGTCAACTTCCAGCCCCATCTACTTTTTGGGTGGTGGGTTGGGCGTGGTGTCTGTTTGGCATCATTAGTGCATCACACATGTTACCCATGTCTAGGCTGGGCCCACTTTTTTAAAAAAATATATTTTTGTTGATTTCAGAAAGGGGGGGAGAGGGAGAGAGAGAGATAGAAACATCAATTGTGGGAGAGAATCATTGATTGGCTGCCTACTGTAGGCTCCCTACTGGGGATCGAGCCTGCAACCCAGGCATGTGTTCTGACCAGGAATCGAATCTCGACCTCTTGGTCCATAGGTCGATGCTCAACCAGAGCCACACCAGCTGGGTTGGGCCCACTTCTTTCAGCATCAGGTAGCTGAGGGACAGAGGAGCAGAGAGGTGCCATGGCTTGCCCAGGGTCACAGCGTGCAGGCAAAGTGGTCATAAACAATAGACTGTAAGCTCCACAAGGGCAGGGACCTTTGTTTTGTTCTCTGCTGTGTCCCTAGTACCTGGAACAATGTCTAGCAAATACTTGTTGAATTCAATCCTCCTTGACTTCCTTGGCTGTCTCAGCAAAGCTTTTGGAAGGAGCCTCACCTTGCAGCTTGGCCAAGATGTATTCAAAATCCTTCATCATATTGGTCACATTGCTTTTGAACCAGAAGAGACCAAATTCCTGGACAGCTCTGGAAATGCCAAGTGAGCTAGAGGAGACCCAGCCTTCCCAGTGGATGTCAGTCCAGCTTCTGTAATCAGTTCACACGGTAATCACATTGTTCCTCCACCACCACCAGCCAGGTGTGGTTGATGTTCAGGGGAAGGTGGTCATGGTCTGGTTCTGTGGATCCACAACAGAATCTTCCTATACATACACCGAGTGAACACACTTCCCGCTCGAAAAAAAATACATAGGATTATCAAGCAAAAGAGGATTTAGATTTATTCTACACTAGAGGCCCGGTGCACAAAAATTTGTGCACTCGGGGGGAAGGGAGGGGTCCCTCAGCCCGGCCTGTGCCCTATCGCAGTCTGGAACTCCTCGGGAGATAACGACCTGCTGGCTTAGGCCTGCTCCCAGGTGGCAGAGGGCAGGCCCAATCCCTAGGTGCAGCCCCTGGTCAGGCTCAGAGCAGGGCTGATTGGGGAGTTGGGGCGCTGCCCCTGTCACGCACAGAGCAGGGCGGATCAGGGAGGTTGCGATGCCATCCTCAGTCACGCTCAGGGTAGGGTCGATTGGGGGGTTGGGGCACCGCCCCCTGTCACACTCAAGGCAGAGTCGATGGGCAGGTTGCGGCGCCACCCCGTCACGCACAGAGCAGGGCCAATCAGGGGGTTGGGGAGCTCCCCCATGTAACGCACAGAGCAGGGCCCATCAGGGGGTTGGGGAGCTCCCCCCCGTCACTCACAGAGTAGGGTCAATAGGGGAGTTGGGGCACCGCCCCCTCACACACAGAGCAGGGCCCGTGGGGTGGGGGGGGTTGGGGTGCCGCACCCTGTCACACACACAGCAGGGCCGATCAGGGGGTTGGGGCGCCATAGCCTGTCACACACAGAGCCGCAGGGCAATCAGGGGGTTGGGGAGCTCCCCCCATCAGGCACAGAGCAGGGCTGATCAGGGGGTTGGGGAGCTCCCCCATGTAACGCACAGAGCAGGGCCCATCAGGGGGTTGGGGCTCCGTACCCTGTCACGCACAGAGCAGGGTCGATCAGGGGGTTGGGGAGCTCCCCCATGTAACGCACAGAGCAGGGCCCATCAGGGGGTTGGGGAGCTCCCCCCCGTCACTCACAGAGTAGGGTCAATAGGGGAGTTGGGGCACCGCCCCCTCACACACAGAGCAGGGCCCATGGGGTGGGGGGGGTTGGGGTGCCGCACCCTGTCACACACACAGCAGGGCCGATCAGGGGGTTGGGGCGCCATAGCCTGTCACACACAGAGCCTCAGGGCAATCAGGGGGTTGGGGAGCTCCCCCCATCAGGCACAGAGCAGGGCTGATCAGGGGGTTGGGGTGCCTTCCCCTGTCACGAACAGAGCAGGGCCGATAGGGAGGTTGTGGCCCCACCCCGTCACACACAGAGCTGCAGGGCAATCAGGGGGTTTGGGCACTGCCCCGTCACGCTGATCCCGGTGCCGGGATGCCTCTCAGCTCCGCTGATCCCGGTGCTGGGAGGCATATTACCCTTTTACTATATAGGATAGAGGCCTGGTGCACGGGTGGGGGCCGGCTGGTTTGCCCTGAAGGGTGTCCTGGATCAGGGTGGGGGTCCCCACTGGGGTGCCTGGCCAGCCTGGGTGAGGGGTTGATGGCTGTTTGCAGCTGGTCACACACCCTTCAGGGTGAGGGTCCCCACTGGGGTGCTTGGCCAGCCTGGGTGAGGGGCTGGTGGCTGTTTGCAGCTGGTCACACACCCTTCAGGGTGGGGGTCCCCACTGGGGTGCCTGGCCAGTCTGGGTGAGGGGCTGAGGGCTGTTTTCAGGCTGGCGGATGACTGAAGCTCCAACCGCTCCTTTTTTTCTTTTATTCTGGGCCAGCTTTAGCTCTGAGGCTTGGCTCCAGCTCTTAGGCCTCCGCTGCTGAAAGCAGGTTTCTGGCCTTTGTTTACTTTCTGTATTTGAAACAATATTGCGATCCTGCTGGCTGAAGCCTGGCCAACTAAAGCAGGTTTCTGGGGTTTTGTTTAGCTTCTATATTTGTAACATAGTTGCTTAGAGTTGCAGCTCAGAGGCCAGCAGCGGCAGGCAGGGAAGGTTGGAGTCCTCCATCACTAAAGCAAGCAAGCCTCATGTTCACTTTAAGCTGCCTGGCTGCCAGGCGCCATCTTGGCTGGCAGTTAATTTGCGTATCGCCCTGATTAGCAAATGGGAAGGGTAGCGGTCGTATGCTAATTACCATGTTTCTCTTTTATTAGATAGGATAACTCCAGGAAAAATTATAACAAGTTTTAGAGGTTCTGTCCTCACCCCAGAATGAGATCTCACAATAAGAGCTATTTTAAAAATGCAACATGCCCTAGCCATTTTGGCTCAGTGGGTAGAGCATTGGCCTGCAGACTGAAGGGTCCCTGGTTCGATTCCAGTCAAGGGCACATGCCTAGGTTGTGGGCTCGATCCCCAGTGGGGGCTGTGCAGGAGGCAGTTGATCAATGATTCTCTCTCATCATTGATGTTTCTTTTCTTTTTTCTTTTTTTTTTAATATATTTTATTGATTTTTTTTACAGAGAGGAAGGGAGAGGGATAGAGAGAGTCAGAAACATTGATGAGAGAGAAACATCGATTAGCTGCCTCCTGCACACTCCCCACTGGGTATGTGCCCGCAACCGAGGTACATGCCCTTGACCGGAATCAAACCTGGGACCCTTGAGTCCGCAGGCCGATGCTCTATCTACTGAGCCAAATTGGTTAGGGCTCATCATTGATGTTTCTATCTTTCTCTCCCGCTTCCTTCCTCTCTGAAATCAATAAAAATATATTTTAAAAAATAAATTAATTAAGTAAAATAATGAAAATAAAAATGCAACAGGCTGCTTTGTGAGCAGTAAGCTTCCCATCTCTGGAAGTGATCAAGTAGAAGTTAGCTAACTAATGTTGGGAATTTTATAAAGGAGGCTCCTGCATCTTTTCTGACTGAGATCAAATGACTCTGGATTTTCTGCGTTAATGCTTTCATATATTAACAATGACAGTTCAAAGACTTACCAGATTCTTTTCAATATCTTGATCTGTGTTTACTTCTGAATCAGCCGTCTTAAAGTCAGTCTACAAAGACAGAAACAGCATATTCAGAACTGGTCAGTGGCATTTGAAGAGGGAGAATTGCTCTCATACTTTCACGTAAAATCTGTGCAACGAAGAGGCTAACGTGTTGGCTGCACAGCAAGAGCAGCACCGCAGCTCTGCCAAATGGACGCTGACATGCACCCTGCAGGAAGCACTTATCCCCCAGAACACCCAGGTGCAGAGGCTACACTCTTCATTATCAGTGAGACAGTATATGGAGACTGTCAGGTTCCTAGTCACCACAATTAGGCAATGGCTCCTGGCTTTACTATTTCTTGAACACCAGGATGAAGCCATTACATAGCACCAAATGGAAATAGTATGACAGCTGCCAGTAAAAAAATGATAAAGAGTAGTCTCCACCAACCATGAAGAAATGTCTCTTCCCTCAAAAAACAAAAAAAAACCCCAAATTCCATTGATATAGTAGAAACTTGATACTTGACCTGTACAGCAATGTTCTGAGAAAGCTTCAGGGAAGAGCTATCCTGATCATCATCCTGATCCACTCTGACTCCTTCAACCCCATTTGCTGGAGGTACTACAGGTCGGAAATCCAAGCCTGTGTCCCTGCTCCCTTCCTTTAGGATGGAGGCTTGTGGGGACTTCTCTTCAGGACAATTCCCGGAGGCAAGTTGCTTTGCATGGCCCCCTGCCTTAAGAGACCGAGTGACAGGATGGAGGCTCTCCCGGAGGCACGGATCCCCCTCCTCTCCTGCTGTGCTGGCCACGTCCTTCAAATCAGACTGAGACCCACCGCCAGAAAGACCAAGGGCTGTGGCTATCAAGTTTTCTCCTAAAACCGCCTGGTGCGCTGCTGAGGTGTCACCTGCTGACGAACCAGGATTCTGCTCTGGTTGTTCCAAATGGACATTTCTGTTATTCTCCTTGGTTATCGTTTGGCTACTTACACTCGACAGAGGTGAGTTCTTGTGCTTCTGTGCAGGGTCTTTGGGGCTACCAAAACACAAGACAAAAAGGTTCTCTCTTCACCCAGTCTTAAAGAGGGTTAAATATGCAATACTTCTAACATAACCACTAAAAGAACAAAACTGGACTATACAACCCCTCAAATTATCAAAAGAAAAGGAACTTCCTTTCTATCCAGTGATTTCCTCCCACATGCAGGGAATACCGCTTGGTGGTTAAGAACCTGGGTTCTGGCCCCGGCTGGTGTGGCTCAGTTGGTTGAGCGACATCCAGTGCAACGGAAAGGTTGCTGGTTCAATTCCCAGTCAGGGCACATGCCCAGGTTTTGGGCTTGATCCCCGGTGGGTGCATGCAGGAGGCAGTCCATCAATGCTTTTCTCTCACATGGATGTTTCTCGCACTCTCCCTTCCTCTCTCTCTCAAGTCAATAAAAAATATATTTTTTTAAAAAAGAACCTAGGTTCTAGAGACAGTCTCCAGTAAATGATGACACATAAGTGACTAAAATTCCAAAAATCTTTTTTTTTTTTTTTTTTAATATATTTTATTGACTTTTTACAGAGAGGAAGGGAGAGAGATAGAGAGCCAGAAACATCGATGAGAGAGAAACATCGATTAGCCGCCTCCTGCACACCTCCTACTGGGGATGTGCCCGCAACCCACGTACATGCCCTTGACCGGAATCGAACCCGGGACCCTTCAGTCCACAGGCCGACGCTCTATCCACTGAGCCAAACCGGTTTCGGCGTAAAATTCCAAAAATCTTTGAGGGTGAAGTTGAATAACCTTTAGGGATACGGAGGAAATAGCTTAATGCTAGTTAGAATATTTCATTTAGTTACATGCATTAATTTAGTTACATATATTTTAATAAAATATCAATTTAGAAATAGTTTTTATTCCACTCTTATGTTTCACAAAAATAATTTTCTCTCAAACTCATTATACAGATCTCTGAGCAGAACCACTTTTTAGGTTCTTCAAGTTTTCCAGAGCATAGAATCTTCACTTCAAGCTGTGTGAAATACAAACACTTTTGAATCCAAAACTGAAGCTGTCATTAGAAATTTTATCCCAGACAAGTACATACATGTGCAACACTGGGATAGTTGTTTTACTGTGTATCACAGACACTTAACATATTGTGTTTTTGTTGTTGTTGTTTATTAATCCTCACCTAAGAATATTCTTTCCATTGACTTTCAGAAAGAAAAGAAGGGAGGAAAAGGTGGGGAGGGAAGGAGAAGGAGAAGGAAGAGGAGAAAGAGAGGGAGGGAGAGAGATTGGTTGCCTCCTGCATGCCCCCCGACCAGGGCCAGGGATCGAACCTGCAACCCAAGTATGTGCCCTTGTCTAAATACCAAACCTGCCACCCTTTGGTGCACATGCCGGCCAACACTCTAAGCACTGAGCAACACCAACCAGGGCAACATAGTGGTTTTTAAAGAGATCTTTAAAACCTATTTACAATGATATCCAACATTCACAACTATAAATTTTTCATCCAGGAATAATGACTAAATCTGTGTTAAATTTCTTTTCCTTTTATTAAAACCGGTTTTGTCAACTGATGCCCTTAAGCACCGCACACTAGAAGGAGGCATCAGGTCACTATCCTTGCTTTCCTTAATAGTACTTGCTGTTCAAAATAAAACAACAGAGAGCATCTTGCATTATGAAAACCTTTATAAATACTCCAAGCTGATTCCTTGCTGGGAGTTAACTGAGGGGCAAGGGGGCACCCAATTACAAATTGGGCATGTGTAGTGTCTGGATGGAATCCTGACTCTGTTATTTAGCAATTGTTTGACTCTGGGCAAATTACTTAACTTCATTTTAAAAACAGAAATAATATTACCTACCTATTACAATTACTGTGAGGATTACATGAGACAATGTTTCTGAAGTGTTTAGTATAGTGCCTGGCACATAGTAAACACCCGATACACCTTAACTGGTAATATCATTACTAATAGTATGTGGCTGATTTTATTTATAAAATGAAGATCCAAGTTTATAGTTAGGCTTACTTAACATTTGCCCCATTAGCCATTCACTAGCAAACTTCTGTTCATTTAAACAAACATTTACTGGAACCAGACAAGCCTGGGTTCAAGCCCTGACTCCGACATAGTTTGGTAACCTTGGGCAAGTTACTAACCTCTCTGTGTCTGTTTCCTCACCTGTAAATGGGAATAATAATATTAGCACCTACCTCCTGGTATTGTTGGGAGGATTAAATGTGTTAATATATATAAAGCTGTTAGTACAGTGTTATATATTGTATTAAGTCCTAGGTACTGTAGAAAAAAAGCTGACGTAGACTATATAGTCAATTTAGTACAACCCTGTACATACACTGTGCCAAGCATGTAAGATAGAAGGTTGGGTAATCATAATCCCTTCCCTCAAGAGTTCAGACGGAAGGCAAAATATATACATGAAGCAGTAAGCCATATTACCAAAGCTATCTACCGACACAGATATACACACACACACATATAACTGTATGGACACATGTACCTATGAGTATATGTGCTACATAGAAGATGTATATGTGAATATACATGTGTATAATAATAAACATGTACTTAAGTGAACATATAATCCATGTAGGATAGAATGAGGAAATAATTCTCACTTTTGGATGAGTCTCACCACCTGTATTCTGTCAACAAATATTTAGCGTGTGGTCAGACACTGTTGGAAATACAAACATAGATCAGCTAGTCCTTACCTTTATTTATTTATTTTTTTAAATATATTTTATTGATTTTTTTACAGAGAGGAAGGGAGAGGGATAGAGAGTCAGAAACATCAATGAGAGAGAAACATTGATCAGCTGCCTCCTGCACAACCCCCACTGGGGATATGCCCGCAACCAAGGCACCTGCCCTTGACCGGAATCGAACCTGGGACCCTGCAGTCCGCAGGCGGACGCTCTATCCACTGCGCCAAACCGGTTAGGGCTGGTCCTTACCTTTAAAAAGCTCAAGCTAGTGCAGGCTACTAGAACCAAAAGGAGGAAAGACCAGCTACCCTTCCACGAGGCCCTTCACCCCGTCTCCCCGCCAAGAACCCATGCGTTACCTTAGACCATCTAGCAGGCCTTCTTCTGATTTGGAAGCGCACAGACCAGAGGACTCCGGGGGGTTGGGGGCACTGGCCACACCGGCGACCTCGGACGCCGCCATCGTGCTCTGCACATCCAGAAACAAACGACAGGCTACAAGTTTCCAATTTTAAAAACAAGTGTTCTTCCGCCCTCACAACACAGTTTTTCCGGGAAAGGAACGAAGGTGGCTGGAGAACACGCGCGTATTGACTCTATAGCCCCGGCCTTAAAGCCATCCTGGGCAAACAGGTCCCAGCGAACCAGTCCCCTGGACCCACCGTAGGTATGAAAACACCTCGGAGTCGGTGCAAAGCTCTTGGCAGAAATGCAGTCATTTACAGCATCCAGCCAGAGCCAGGGAGCTTTCCAATGGCCCACGCACCTACCTTGCCCAGTATCATTTACAAAGGATGCAATTTTTGGCCCGATTACCAACAATATCGTGTTTAAATCATTTTCTTGCTGTTACATTAGAAGCATCCTCCGTTAATGTAAGAGAAGTTTCAGGGGAAAGCGATGCTGATTTGGGCAGCCCAAGTAGCTTTCCGCTCGGGGCGCGCTCCACGGAGGGGTCAGTGATAACCACGGACAGGAAAGGGCGCAAAGGGGTGGGACCTGGGTTACCCCGAACGAAAATGAGCTGAAAACAGGGTGAGCCAAGTAAGGGGAACAGGGACAGATGACGTTCTTTGATCGAAAGGTCATCTTTCATGTGGCAAGACAAACTCATGGCCCGCTATGGGGAAAAATAAATGGGGGAGGGTATGTAACATCGGGCTAGTTTAGATTCCTTAATTGATTTTAATAGTTATCACAAGAGCCCGTAGGGCAGGTCTGGGGACTGCTGCGCCCACACCTCGGGCACAAGCCAGAGAGCCCCGTGCCTCAGTTTCCCCCGCTACACAAAGGCCCTCGGAGAAAATGGGCCCCCAAGTCGCCATTACCGCTCCCTCAGGTGACGCCTCCCGCCCCAACACCGCCGGGGGCCGCAGACAAAACCACGGGCACGGTCCCGCCTGCGAGTCCACGCAGAAGGGCCGGGTGGGGGCGCCCCGCACCGCAACCCGGGCGACCGCCGCCGAGGCGGCCACGGCGGGAGCGACGGTCCTCGGGGGCGGCCGCGAAGGGACAATGGGTGGAGGCAGCGCCGGGTGGCCCCCGCCGCCCTCCAGCCCGCTCAGCCGGCGGCTCCCTCGGGCACGGCGCCTCCGCACCTTCGCCTCGGCCCGCACCCCGCGGGCAGCCCCCGCCACCCTCCTAGGCCAGGACCCCCACTCGCAGCTCCCGGCGCCTCCACGCCCCCCACTCGCCTCCCGCCCCCCGCGTCGCCCCCCGGCCCGCGCGCCGACCCGCACCCCCTTGGGCTCCGCGCCCCCGGGAAGGAATGGGGGGAGGGACGGGACGCACCTGAGCGGGCGGAGCGGGGGAGGGGGCGGCCGGGCCTCGGGGGAGGGCCGAGCGCTGGCGGCGGCGCACCTCCCACTTCCGGCGGCGCGAGAGGAGGGGGCGGGGCGCGGCGCGGGAGGAGCGGCGCGGGCGTCCGGCCGCCCCCGACGGCGCCCCCTGGCGGCCAGAGCCGGCACCGCCGAGGGGACGCGGCCGTGCGGGAGCCCCTCAGCCACAGGCGGACTGGCAGGGACGCAGGGACGCGAGGAGGGGGGAGACGCTGTCGCGAGAAGGAAGGAGGCGCGTGGAGGGGCCGCTCTAGGGGGACTCAGGGACTGTGGGACCACGGCCGTCTGAGGAGAGGAACGAGGTGCTTGTGAAGGTCGCCCCCGAGATGCCCTTTCCAGGGAACATCATGGGGAAGACGACGCCTCCGGGGAGACCGCCTGGGAGAGGCCCGGGGGCTGGAGGCGGCGCGCGCTGCTCCCGGGAGGGACCCGAGGGGCGGCCCTCGCTCCGGCGGCTGCGGCCGCGCCCGCGCTGGTTGGCTGTGGCGCCGGGCGGAAGTGACGCCGCTGTCACGGGCTCGGGCGCCCGGGAAGCCGCGAGTTTCCGCGGGGAGGCGGCGGGCCGCGCCGGTGAGTTGGAGCTCGGTGGGGGCGGAGCTTGAAGTCGGGGGCCCGGAGCGGGTCGCCGGGTCCGAGGGCGAGGGCGCTGCACGGGGCGCCTTCAGTCCGGCGGGAGCGCCCGGGAGCCGGGCGCCGGACCCTGGAGCCCGCCCCGCGCGGTCCCCTTGGGGCGAGGCGCTTGTGGCGGGGCGCGGGGTCCCGGGCGCGCACGGGCCGGAGGACAGTGTGGGGAGCGGCACCGGACTGGCTGCCGTGTTGCCTCTCCCGCACCGGGGAGCTGTCAGGCTGCGCCCCCAGTTGAGTGAGGCTAAGCCCTGCTGTCGGGGGTACCCGGTTCTTTCCGGGCAGCCTGGGGGCAGGGCACTCTGCCGGAGGGAAGGACGGGCTGACCGGGCACCTGCACCTCCGGGACGGAAGGAGCCTGCCTGGGTGTGACCCTATCGGCGGACGAACGGCTTCTGTCTTACTTCGTGGATGTGCGCACCGGCCAGGCCCCGGGGATCCTGGGGCTGCTGGGGCGGGGAGCACTGGGAGAGCCTCGGGAGCGGAGAGGAGATGTGGAGGGAGTGTTAGAGGCCAACCCCCCCCCCCCCCCCCCCCGCCAGAGAGACTGGGAAAGCACCCACTTTTCTGTCCTGTGTTGAGTCCGACCCCTTTGGCATCTGAGCGAGTGCTCGGCTTTGCCTCCGCGCCCCACCAGCGGGGGCAGAGGCTTCCAGGGGGCCCAGCCACGCACAGATGCACCCGCGCCGGGCACCCACTCACCTGTCCTGTCCCAGCGTAGCCCGCCAGTTCTCGCCCGGCCCTTCCGCCACACCACGGGTGGCGCGGCCAGGTGGAAGCCTGCGCCTTCACCTCCAGGCCGCCCTGCTGAGCTGGCGACCGGGGCCGCCCTTTAGTGCTGGCTGCAGGCATTCCTTCTCTCCCGGCCGCCCACTCGCCCTGATGCCTGTGCAGCTTCCTTGGCATTCTCAGGTTTTCCCCATTTCCCCTGCCTCCTGCCCACTCTCACTTCCCCTGGCCCCCTTCAGATACGGAAACCAGGAAGTTAGCTGCCACCTCGACTTCTAGGAAGCATTGCTACCTACTTTTTTTAAAAAATATATTTTATTGATTTTAGAGAGGAAGAGATAGAAACATCACTGATGAGAGAGAATCGTTGATTGGCTGCCTCCTGCACACACCGCCACCGGGATCAAGCCTGCAACCCAGGCATGTGCCCTCGGCCAGAATCAACCTGGGACCCTTCAGCTCGCAGGCCGCAGGCCGACACTCTATCCATTTAGCCAAACCAGTCAGGGCTTTTTTTTTTAGTGCCTCCTGCAAGCCTCCTATTGGAGATTGAGCCTGCAACTTGGGCATGTGCCCTGACCGGGAATTGAAGCAGGGACCTCTTGGTGCATGGGACCACCCTCAACCAACTGAGCCACACCGGTCAGTTGTGGAGTTTTGGTCACAGTACAAGCCCTCTTCTAGGCCTCTGGGAGGAAAAGAGGGAAGAGAGTGTGGTACGCTGTGAGGACAAGAAGTAGAGTTTCTGGTTCTGCACCAACTTGGCCTTCCTGTCCCAGTTCTGTTCCAGTCTGTGCCTTATTTGAGGTCCCGGGAAATGATACCTGATGGTTGGCCAGTTTCTTTGGTGACAGGTCCTGGAGTTCATGGTGAGCCTCTGTTTGCTCCACTGGGCTTGGGAGGACACCATTTCTTTTTTTCTCAGGGTCCATCCACGGGTCTGCAATCTGTGCTCAGAGTCAGCAGAACTCACCGTGAAAGTGATGCGTTTTCTCCAGTTGCACAAAATGAGCATGCAGTGGTTAGCCAGACCAGGAGCTCAGCCTCGTGTAGAGTCCAGGTGGGAACGGGCCCCGCTGCAGGGAGTTAGCCCTGAGGGCAACTGGCAGAGAAGTCAGCTGGGGAAAGATTCTTGTCCTCTCTAAATAAGGGAGGAGGGTCTCTTCTAAAGAACAGTCATGATTCTGCCAGTACTTGGTGGGAGTGATAGGACTTTTGAGCCCTTTTGATGGCAACACTGGGAAACAGCAGCGTGGAGCCTGTTAGCACTGGATGTGCTGCTTGGTTACCTAGTGAGGCGGGCATTGGTCCATTGCGCCATGGAGGTGCTCGCTGGGCCTAGTTCTGGCCAACACTCCACCTGGGCGCCTATCCCTGTTGGTTGAGATAAATTTGAATACAAAGAGGGGATCACGTGTTTCCTCATTAGAAAGGAGCAGATTGGGGTTTCCAGTTGTGCCCTGATGGCTCCGTCCCCTCTGAGGTGCTGCAGTTCTCAGCTCTCTGATCTCCCATGTCCTTTCTCTTTGCAGCCTACTGTTCTGATGCGGAAGGGGAGGCAGAAAGTGCCACATTTGGATGCCCCTCTGGGCCTGCCCACTTGCCTCTGGCTGGAATTAGCTGGACTCTTCTTACTGGTTCCCTGGGTCATGGGCCTGGCAGGGACAGGTGGGCCTGAGGCCCAGAGCCCAGGGGCGCTGAGTTGGGCTGTGCATCTGGGCAACCTGGAAGGCAAGGGGCAGGAGGAGACTCTGGAGCAAAAGGCAGATGCCTTGGCCCAGGCAGCAGGACTGGTGAATGCTGGGCGCATCGGGGAGCTCCAGGGGCACTACCTCTTTGTCCAACCAGCTGGGCACCAGTCAGACCAGCAGGTAGAGGCCATCCGGCAGCAGGCGGAGGCCGTGTTAGCCAGACATGAAGCTGTGCACTGGCACTCAGAGCAGAAACTGCTAAAGCGAGCCAAGCGCAGCGTCCACTTCAATGACCCCAAATACCCACAGCAGTGGCACCTGGTAAGTCCAGCCCTACAGTTTCCAGCTTCAGATGGGTAGGTTCTGGATATCCAATTCTCTTTTAAAAATAGCAATTAATTACTTCATTTATTTTATTGATTTGAGAGAGAGAAATATCAGTATGTTGTTCCGTTTATTTATGCATTCATTGGTTGACTCTCGTATGTGCCCTGACCAGGGAGCTAAACACCACCTTGATGTATCTGGACAACACTAACCAACTGAGCTACCCGACCAGGGCTATCCGATTCTTTAGTGAACGCTGACTGTATGACTTTCCAGCTTGCCTGGAGAGAGAGTCTGTGGGCTTCGGTGGTGTGTTTCTTCCTCGGGCGCCATCTTCCCTGTGCTCATCTCTAGAGAGCCAGGGGGCTGCAGTGGTCAGGGCCTGGGTGCTGGGGCCAGGCTGCCTGGGCCCAAGTTCCAGCTCTGTCACTTACTAGAATGTGCCTTTGGGCGAGCTGCCTAACCTCTCTGTGCCTCAGTTTCCTTCTCTATAAATGGGAGATTTGATTTGATTTGATTTTTGGGAGATTTTAAAAGTACCTCTTGTAGAGGTAGTAAGGATAAATGAATTAACATGTGTGTCCCTAACACATGATCAACACTTTATAGTGTTAACTACTAACATTATATAATCTATATATATAAAAGCCTAAGCGACCTTTAGGACCTAACAACTGGAATGACCCTGGCAGCCCCAAATCTGGTTCACCCACACCTCGGACCCAGACAGGAGGGAGGAGGGAGCCCGATTCCTTATGGAATCGGCCGTTGGTTAGCTTGCTGCTGGGGCCAACCTCCCGTGAGTCCCTTCCCCCAGCAGGCCGCCCCCCCCATCAGCCCCCATCACCAGCCAGGCCGAGGGACCCCACCTGTGCACAAATTCGTGCACTGGGCCTCTAGTGTTAACATAATATACATTATGGAGCATAGTAATTGTACTAGCCAACCTTAAGCCTAGCCACCATTTCATCTATATTTTTTAAATCTTTATTATTGAAAGTATTACATATGTTCTCTATTTCCCCCAGTGACCCCTTCTAGCCTGCCCCACCCACACCCTACCATTCATCTTTATTGCCCATGAATGCTGCCACCCTTTCCTGGAGACCTAGATGGTGGCAAAGCTCTCACTTGTCCCTCCTTGACTCCGCCCCCACCTGGACCTATTGGTACACAAACTCTTTCTGGCTCTTCAATGGCAGCCAAGAGGAGAAAGGGGCCGCTAGCTTCACTGTGCATCACTGGAGCTGTGCTATCTGTCCCTGGATTTCCAAGGCTCTGACACAGTTCCTGACCCTGTCTGTCCTGCAGAATAACCGGCGGAGCCCCGGCAGGGACATCAACGTGACAGGTGTATGGGAACGCAACGTGACGGGGCGAGGGGTGACTGTGGTGGTAGTGGATGACGGAGTGGAACACACCATCCAGGATATTGCACCCAACTATG